GGGACTTAAAGAACGTCAACCAGGTCACAGAAGCACACACGCAGAAATCATTGAGGTGATGTAGGTTCCACTGTGTATATTCTCAACCACCAACACACACAAAGAAAATAACTCCTTAAAAAATGGAAAGGTAAAGCAAATTGAAATATACTAATAGTCACATACAAGGATCTAACTCACCTAAGTGAAAAAAAGCAGCGTTGTCCAGGGGTGAGTACACATGGGAACTATCTGTACCTAAAACTGCTCTAAAACGATCAACTGAAAAAATAGAAATTATAATTAATACCAAATTATAAAGCATGTATTTAAATAATGCTTTGCCTTTGAAAAATCATCCTATTTAAATTGCCAAACCAGATACATTTCCATTTTGATTATTACTATCAATGCCTTTGAGCCCAAGATTAAATACATGAAATGGGTGCCACCAGCTCCCTCTGCCGTGAGTAGATAGACATGACTAAGCAATCATCACAGTTTGGACAATACCATTTGAATTGCTCTCAGTCCAATGATTCAAACTGCCACCACCAAGCACCAGCAGTTGGCTTGATAGTGAGAGGCCCCGGTAGTCAGGGAACTAAGCCACTCACGAATATGACCAGCCTTGAGGCTTTTTAAGGACAGTAGCAGTTTAAGGAAAACTGCCCGGAAGTGTGGGGACACAGACCAGGCAAGAGAGCAGTGTTGGTTGTAAACTCCATCCATGGAGCTCAGTTAGCTGTCCTCCCCTCCTCAATCCTCGTTGCTGGCCCCCACTGGGCCTGCACACACCCCAACAGCTGCTGGGAGCTAGCTCCAAGGAGGACAATGCTTAAAGCTTTGCAGCGAGTGACTAACGATAGACAGGGGTGGCACCAGTGGTTGTACACAAAGGAGACCCATGAAAATGGAGGAAGCACAAGGAAAGAGCCTGCCAGCCTCGGCCCTGTGGTCTCCCAGGCTGTAAATACCAGCATTGGATTGTAGTCTCCACACAAAACCACAAGTTGTCATTGTAATTAGGTAATGATGACAGCACCAACCAGATCACATTAGAAAGTTCCCAAAGTCAAAGAGCAGCTTCAGGAAGATCAATAAAGGTAAGCTGGGCTTATGGCAAAGTGTTTATATTGTTGTAACTAATATACAAAATATACATTTTTATTAAAAAATAACTTCTGCTGAAATGCCACACACAAAGTTTACAAGGGTGTGCCCCCCGCAAAAAATATTTTTCAAAGCTATGTATTTAAATTTTTTTTTATCATTTTCAAAATACTCTCCATTACACTTAATACATTTGTCAAATCTGCAATTCCATTCTTAGAAGCATTTCTCTAACTCATCTGTTTGGACGGATGGCAGCACCTCCTTTGTTTTTGTCTTCCTCTTCTACATTGTTAAATTGCCGTCTTTACATGTCCCTCTTCATTCACGGAAACAAAAAGAAACCCACGGAGCAAGGTCAGGAGAGTAAGATGCGTGGAGCAAGAGGCATGCTGTTTTTTGCCAATAACTGGCGCATGAGATGGCTGCATGAGCAGGTGCATTGTCTTGGTGGCAAAACCAATCCTTCTGCCACAAATCAGGCCTTGTTTGTGGCACGCAGTTATGCTATCTTTTCAGAACATCTAAATAGAAAGCTTGATTAACAATCTGACCTGGTGGAGACAACTCCAAGTGCACCACGAGAGGACATTTTTGTCCATTTGGGAAGTTGACAGACATCCAGAACTAGGATTGTCATCAATGAACATTTCACTTTTTGAAATGAGAAAACCACTTGTACACTTGAGTTTTCCCTATACTACTGCCCTTGTAAGCTGTATTCAACATCACAACAGTTTCTGTGGTACGTCTCCTGAGCAGGAAACAAAATTTCACAGCCACATGCTGTTCTCTTAAATCAGCCATCACAAAAGAGATCTTACAAAAATATTCAGAGGCCAGAGAGAACCTTCCCCGGTAATGCCACTGGGTGCACTAACTCTGAATGAGTTGTTCAATGCTCACCTGTTTCCCCGAAAGTAAGACATCCTCCAAAAATAAGACCTACTTACAGTTTTGTCTCTCACTGAAATATAAGGCATCCCCCCAAAATAAGACTTCCTCGCACATAAGGCCTCCCCGATAAGGCCCCCGAAGCTACAGTAACTCTGGACCATAACGGTGGGACGCCACGCAACTGTTAGCCACCGTGCAGCCGGAGCAGACAGGAAGTGTGAGTAAATGTACCACAGATTGTTGTACATGGAAATAATGGTAGTAACAAGAAATTCTTGATACTGTAGGATTCAGTTTGTCTGGTTAAGCTGGTTTGTGATGACAACTACTACCATACCGTACACAGGTAATAAATTTCATTTTTAAAAAATTTCCTTTTTTTGTTCAACAATAAATGTGACCGTATTCTTCTTCATGGAAAAATATGATATCCCCTGAAAATAAGACCTAGCGCATCTTTGGGAGCAAAAATTAATATAAGACACAATCTTATTTTTGGGGAAACAGGGTAGCAAGGAAAAGCTCTGTACTAGGAAAATTCTGTTCCGTCGAGCATTATTCTGGGGGTTTTGGTGGGGTCTTTTTTTGGGGGGGGGGGCTCCCCTTGTATAGTCACTTTGGTGTCACCCAGTGTCTGCACTCTCAGTGCCCCTGATAGGCTCTACTGCTTTCAGACGAATCCTGGCCTGTGGACCATCTGCCCAGGGACCCCAATTCCTCCTACAAACCAGCTACTCTCTTGATTCCTGGTCATTCCTATAGCTCAGAGGTATTACCAGATTTTTTTCTCAGAATGAAATTCAACAAATGCTTCCAAGGAAAGGAGAAATACCGTCCCATCCGTGGGTGTGTTCAAAGGCCAGGTAACCATTTGATGAACAATGCTCCTGGACCTTCTAGGGACCACTTTATCTGATGCTGCAAATACACTAATGGCCGCCAGGTGGCGATAGTCGAGCCATCACTATACCCATGTCCATCCAGTTGACACGGACTCATAGCAGCCTGATAGGTTTCAGGGTTCAGATATCTTTACAGACCAAACGACCTTTTCTTCCTCAGAGCAGCTGGCGAGTTTGAACCATCGACCTTGTAGACAGTGTTCTAATAACTCAAATAACTCACTGGCATCAAGTCAAGGTGTAGAACTGCCCGTGAGTTTCCAAGACTTTAACCCTTTGCCAGAGTAGAAAACTTCAGGCCAGTCTTTCTCCTGCAGAGCAGCTGCGGCTTCCAAAATGCTGACCTTGCACCTGCAGCCCAGTGCACAACCAACCACTGCGCCACCAGGGCCCCTTAGTTGTCTGATGCTTAATTTATTATTTTAAAACGCATCGCACACCCATGGGCTTCAGAGTAGAGCCGTGCTCTGCCGTTTTCTCCAGGCTGATCTTTGAGGCACCGCTTGCTTGTCTGACGCCATGTACCTTGGTGGTGGCGGGTGTTCAGGCCGGATTCAGAAAAGGACGTGGAACGAGGGACATCGTCGCTTTGATCAGATGGATCTTGGCTCAAAGCAGAGAATACCAGAGATGTTTACTTGTGTTTCTGCAACTATGCCCAGGCATTTGACTGGGCCATCACTATGGATAACCCGGAGAAGAATGGGGATTCCCAACACTTCACTGTGCTCATGCGGAACCTGCACAAGGATCAGAGGCAGTTGTGCGAATGGAACGAGGGATTGCGGCGTGGTTTAGTCAGGTAGATGACCCTGATTTGTTACTTCCCATGATTCTGTGATGGTCCGGCCGGGCCTTAGTCTCCATTGAGTTGACTTCGGATTCCAGCCTCCTTTGGAAGCTCACCACAGTGGAGCAATTCCCATTGGTCACAGGGATAGCCATACCCGAGCAGGCTCTTGGGAACAAGGACCATGGAAGGTAATTACTCAGCTTCTCCTTGGCATCTCTGTCCAGCCACAATCAGATGTACAGCACACTCAGCCCTGTCACCCCAGGTAAACCATGCCTCCGCCAGCAGGCTGTCCACCTCCAAGGTGGGCCTGGCCCTCCCGGCAGTGCCCTTTCTGCACACTGCGCTCAACACCTTTCCACCTGGTAACACTAGCCCTGGAAGCACCTAGTGCTGGCTGCTGGGCCCCGAGACCCAGCCCAAAACTCCAGCTGGGTCCTCTGCACAGCCAAGACAGCCAAGAGACCTTCAGGGTGGGCTTGCCACTGTCCCTTTGGTGTCCAGAGGCTGGGCTGAATCTCACTCACCCCTGACCCCTCCCCCTTCCTCCACCTTTGCCCTGGACTCCAACGGCAGCCCAACTCTTCCCAAGGCCATAGTACCAGGTGTTAGTGCACCCACCTGGTCCAGGATCCAAGTGCCAAGGGCACTGGGTGGTTTATTTCTTCGCTGTTTTACCTTCAACATGAGAACCGGTCCACCTGGCGCACGAGTACGGCATTTGCTTGCCAGGTGTTTAACAGAACCTGAACAACCCCCTGGGAAAGTTAGTTCAATGGGCGTCATGACAGCAAGTTTGCAGCCAGTGCCCTGTGGCTGTTCTCTATACATCCCTCCCTAGGGGACCAGGTCCATCTTCCCAAAGGAGAGCAAGGGCGAGCTAAGAGGATACAAAGTCCTACCATACCTGGGGAGACAGTCTCCCCTGTACCCTGGGGACTACCTGCTGTCACAAAGGTTGTTGTCTCCCCTCCAGGTGCCAGGCAGACTGGTAGGTGGTCCCAGGTGCGCGGGGTGGTTTTGAGGCACACTGTGCAGGGTTGGATGTGGAACCCACACCCCATCCTCACAGAAGGGCAGTCTTCCACCAGGCTGACTCGATACAGCAGGTGGGCCCCTGCTCGTCCTCCTGGGCTTTGCTAAGAGCTCAGAGTGCAGAGATGAGGGGCTGGTCCCCGCTCCCGGGCCCCTCTAAGCCTCCAGAGCCTGCTGCTGGGCTCTGTGGGCAAAGCTGCCCTGAAGGGGAGTCACCAGGTCCCCATACCCGAGAGGGCCCTGAGGGCAATCACCCAGGAGAGAGGTGGCACCCAGAGTGGCACAGGGCAGGGCAGTTTTATTCTTGTAAAAAAAATGTTCCAACAGGGGCCGAGGGAAGGCACACCCCGGCCAGGCCCACCTGAGGGGCTGGAGCAGACGTCAAGCCTGACCAGGGCCGCCTGGAGAAACCGATGGGGCGCCTTGAGGTGCTGGGGGGAGCACGGGGTGTAGGTGGGTAGGCCCAGGAAGTGGGTTTTACTTCATTAGCACCAGGGGCTGTCCACAGCCACACACACGTGGTGGCCCATCTTCACTCGACCCAAGCCCTCTGGGCAAGGGCTGGCAGCTGAAGGCTCCTCCTTGCAGGTAGATGAATGAGGTGGTGCCTGGCCTGGCCGGCCCAAGTCACCTGAGTGTGTTCTTGAAATCCCAGTGCCCTCCCCTCTGTAAACATGAGCAAGGCCTGTGACCGTCCGGGCCCTCAGGACAGGATGAGCGTCCGTGACGTGTGGCTGGGCTTCAGGCGGCCCAGGAGCTGCCGGGCTTTCTCCTGCATGAAGAGCTGGTCCCTGGTGCCCCCGCAGGCCACCACCTTCCAGGCCCTGGTCATCTGGGAGGAGGCAAGACAATGACTGCCCAGGCAGGGGGCCTGGGCCCCAGCAACCCCAGGGACGCCCCAAGCTAGGGGCCAAAGGTGTGCCGTACCCACTCCTCCCTCCTGAGTAGCCCTGGGGAGGAGGATGGGGGGACGGTAACCCTAGGCTGCTTCCCAACCATGATGCCAGGAGGCTGGGCCAGGAGTCATGGTCTGGCTAGGACTGGGGCACTAGCGTAGAGATGCCACGTCTCACTGGCCCGGACATGTGCCCACAGGACCGGGGGGCAGTGCTGCCCTCGGTCCTGTAGGCAGCACTGCCCCCTGCAGACATGCAGTAAGTGGAACAGGAGCCAGGGCTCAAAGGACTATAACTATTTCCAGGGAAGCCCTGTCACCCTGTCACTAGAGGGGGGTGGCTCTAGATTACCAGGGAGGGCAGGGCAAGCAAGTCCCCAGGGCACAGCAAGTCCCCAGGCAGTGCCTCGGTGGGCAGCACTCACAGGGGCTGGTGTTGGGAAGTGGCTCCTTGGCTTCTGGGCTACCCCCGCCTTCTCCGGCTTGGCCTGCAGGAAGCCCTGATTCAGCAAGCTGTTGTCCTCCTTTCCAGTGGGCAGGGCGAGGCTGGGCGGGCTATGAGCCACACGGGCCGGCTGAAACCAGAACCAAGGCCGAGGCTCATCATTCTGCCACAGAACACAGGCCCTGGGGTTCCTGGGTGCCACCGAGTCAGGTCCGACTCATAGCAGTGACTTGATGTCAAGCCCATTCCACACTCCTCTCCATTGAGCCCACTGCCGCCGCCACCACATTAATCCATCTACAACTCGTTGCCACTAAGTCCACTGTACAGTGTCCCCGAGGCCATAAATGTTTACAGAGGCAGACAGCTTCCTCTTCCTCCAAACCTTTGAACCGCCAACTTTTCTGTTAGCAGCCAAACGCTTATCTGACGGAGCCACCAGGGCTGCAGCTATCTGACGGAGCCACCAGGGCTGCAGCGCACCTATAATGGGAGGGAAAGTGCGGGCCACCCCCCACCCCCCCAACCCCACACACCCAGGCTAGATCCCAGCACAACCACCGCCAGGCTGGCTGCTGAGAGCCTGGGCAAGAACATTAATTTCTCTAAGACTCGGCTTCCTCTTTCAAGTGGGAAGCTTGTTTGAAACATTTAGAAAATACTTCTAACACAAAAGTGGCTGAGCTTGGCCCGCAGTAGATGCTCAGTGCGCGCTGGGCCTGCAGGCCAGATGGGGGCGGGCCATCTCTGGTTCCTTGTGGCAAAAGGTGCCAAGCACTTGGAATGGCGCCTGCACCTGCCAGGTGCCACCGCAGCCTTGAGGCGTCTCCTCCTCAGTCCTCAGCCCAGGGTTTCCACTTCCAGCCCGGCCAGGGAGGCACCGGGGCTCTGAGGGATCCCAGAGAACCCAGGGAGCAAACCCAGGTCCACTCGGTTCCAAACCCTGTCTCCTAACCACACGTCACTGCTTTCTTTCCCCTAAAGGACGCCCTTCCCAGCCGGCCAGGGGTGCTCCGTGCGTGGGTCCCATCTGTCCTCGAGACGGTCTGCAACGTCAGGCGGGCCGCTCCGGGTCCTCTTCTGCTTCTCAAGGACGGGCTTTCATTTCCTTCCGCTTCAACGTGAACATGGCTCCGGGCACGTGGTGGTCTGCTCCCGGTCGACTCCTGCTCTGGTTCTGATCGAAATCGCGCTTCTGCATCGTCTCTTGCAGCAGCAGCCGCAGTCAGCGTGGTGGTTCCCGTGTACTCCGCCCGGGAGGTCCCCGAGTTGCGGGAGGGCAGCAAGATCATACATGAAGCGAGCAGATGGTCTTGAAAAGACCCGGAAAGCCCAAAGTGGACGTCAGAAGAGTCTCCAAACATGGCTCTTGAGCGTAGGGCAGTGAGAGCCAATGGAAGGGGTGAAGTCAAAGAGCCGGACTTCAAAGAGAGACTTTCGAGGGTGGCTGGAGCGGACAAAGGATCCTCCTGAAATGTACAGAGCCACAGGGAAGCCCATGCCGAGCACTTCTGCAGGCGGAAAGAGCTGAAGGAAGAAGTTCCAGCCCCGAGTGAAACAGCGATGGGCACAGGGTGGGATGTGCATGTGTGCGCGTGTGTAAGAAGCACCAAGCAAAGCGGAAAGAACACAGTCGCTGCACCAAAGACAACTGGTTGACCTTGAACTAATCTTGGGAGTAGCACACGATCAAGGGCTAACAGTCCTGAAGGAAGAAGGCGTTGGCAAATGCAAGGCTCCGGGAATGGAGAAGACATGAACTGAGGCGATTCGGGAAAAAAAAAAAAAAGATACTACACTGGAGGGACTCACTCATCTATGCCAAGAAATTGGAATGATCGCTATCTGGCCAAGTAACTGGAAGAGATCTGTATTTCCCCCATTCCCAAGAAGGTGGCCCAGTATATCAAATATCATTAATATTCCTTTGAAGTTTTAATTTTGTTGAACAGCATTCAAAAACAATTGCAGCATAACAGACAGGGACCTGTCAAATATTTAACACGCACACCCCCAAACCCCGCCCACCTCACTGCCATCGAGTCAATGCTGACTCATTGCGACCCTCTGTGGGTTTCCAAGACTGACACTGTTCTCCCTGGGAGCTGCTGGTGGTTTTGAACGGCCAACCATGCAGGATCGAAGCCCAACTTGTAACCACTACACCTCAGCGCTCCGTGGAGCAGCCAAAAATGCACGCTGGCTCTGAAAGGGGAAGTGGCATGAGGGTATCACCGCTGATGTCACACGGACCCTGGCTGATGGCAGAGATGCCAGAAAGATGTTCACCTGTTTCACTACGCAAAAACTCTCAACCGAGTGGATACTGGTTATGGCTAACAATGTGAAGAACGGAAACTCCAAAACATTTCATTGTGCTTACATAGAACCAGTCCATAAAACGAGGCAATCATTCGGGCAGAACAAGGGGGTAGTGTGTGGTTAGAATCAGGAAAAGTGTGCTTCCGGGTTGCCTACTGACTTCGTCTGTATGCCGAGCAAATATTCCAAGAAGTTGGCCTATAGGAAGGACAACACGCACCAGGACTGAAGGCCCAACCCTGCTTGCTGAAAGCCAGGAGGGACTGGAAGCGCTTATTGAAACAGACCAAAGACGGTAACCTTCAGTGTAGATCACACCTTACCTGAAAGACAAAAGTCCTCACCACTGGATCAAGAGACCACGCATCATAACAAACAGAGAAAACATTGAAGTTGTTGCGAATTTCTTTTTGCTTGGCTCCACAGTAACACCCGTGGGAGCAGCAGGCAAACGCCCGACAGGAGAACCCATCAGGCCCATGGGCTGCAAAAGACCTCTTTTAAAATGTTAGGCAAAGACGTCACTTGGAGGGCCGGAGGTGCACCTGAGCCCAGTTACAGTCTTTCAAGCGTGTAAAAGCAGGACAAGCAATAAAGACTGAAGGCAGACGGATGCATTCAAATCAGTGTTGGCCAAGAATCAGGAGAACTGCTGGGACAGACTGCCAGAAGAATGAGCAAACCTGTCTTGGAAGAGGGGGTCAGCACGCTCCTTAGAAGCAAAGATGGCAAGGTTGTGTCTCACGTACTTTGGCCATGCTACCAGGAGGGACCGGTCCCCGGAGGACATTACGCTTGCTAGGCAATCAGCACAGAGGAAGGCCCTTGATGAGATGGTCTGACACAGCGGTGGCCACAAGGGGCTCCAACACAGCAACAACGATGTGGCAGTTCCATCATCTCCTGTCATAGCCAGGCATGCCTGTGTGTGTGGGCACGGCCTTCCCCTGCAGATTCTGGGAACTCCTGTCTTCCTCCCTCCCTGGAGGTTGGACACATGCTCTCTCTGCTTGGTCTTCCTGCTGACACATGGAGCTACACTGATGGAGCCAGAGCCCTGGAGCGGGAGGAGCCACGTGGAGACCCACACCAGGGCTGAGATGCTTCCACCGCCTCTGGGTCAAGACTTCCCATTCACTGGCCTGGGATCTTTCTGCATTCGGCGTCATTGCATGTGCTGCATGAGTCTGAAGAGGAATTTAAAGACTGGTATAGGACATATGGGCTAATATTGGACTTATGGACTTGATCTGGACTGGGATGTTTTCTTAATGTAATTACTCTTTATGTAAAATTATTTCCTATACACACATCAGTGTCTACGAATTTGTTTCTCTAGTCCACCCGGACTAGAACAGATGGCGAGGATGATGCAGGACTGCACTGTGTTTTGTTCTGAATCTGCTCGCTGGCACCTCCCAACAAGAATGACCATGTCTGCATGTGTGCTAACTGCCTGCATGTCCTCTGTGGCGAAGGTCCTGGTCACGCCCTCTGCCTGTGAACAAGCAGTGCTGCTAGCTACAAGACAAGCGGTGCCCAGCCTAGTGTAGACCAGAGTGAGTTTTCTCTACAAGGGCCGGCAGGACCTGAAGACAACGCTTGCCAAGTTGGTCCATCTTCTGAGCTTTGGCTCTGTGGCCGGGTCATACCTCGTGGGCACCAGGCTCAGCCCTTTTCCAGGTGCAAGTGATCAACAGCATGGATCTGGGGAACCTCACTCCAGGAATAACCACCTACCTGAGGCAGGTCAGCCTGACAGCATCATCGAATACAGCAAGCACACCAAGAGCTCAGCAAGCACCCATCCTAGGGCCGTTGCTGACACCCATCTGGCTGGACCTTGAGGCAAGTGACCCACCCTGGGGCTACCCCATCAGCAGGAGGCAAGGGAAGCATGCTAGAGGCCCAGAGTCACGAATGTCAAGTGTGTTTAGCAACATGAGCTGCTAAAGCCTCCTCCGGTGGAAGCAGGGGTGCATTCCCAGACCTGCCTTCGCCCAGAATCCCTCCCTGGGAGGCCCAGTCCCAGACCAGGTGGTCACGCCACCTCTAAGGTCCTTCCAGATGTAAACCTTCCCAAGCCAGAAGACCCCCATGCTCCCCCGAGCACAGCCCTCTGCAGCTCTGGGCAGAGGGGCAAGGGAGGGGGTGTTGGACACAGGTGACAGACGGTTGCTCCGAGACCCTCTTACCAAGGCCATTGTCTTGGGCAGTGTGGACATCATCAACTTCAGGTCCTCATCCACGATGTCGAGAGCCAGAGATTTCCGGACTTTCTTGATGGGGCTCCGCCGCAGCTGGGTGGGGAGGATGGAGGTGGTTAGGTCTGCTGTCTGGGGTCCAAGGGTCGCACCTGCCCCGGCACCCTGGTCAGGCTACCAGCCCTGCTGCAGCACTGCCTTTATACCAGCAGACTTGGCCCTGGGACTGCTGGATAACGTGGCGGCGAGAGGTCACCAACGTGACCTTCCAGCCACAGGACCCAGTGCTCACCCTGAAGGGGCCAAACTGGGCGCTGAGCTGTCCCACGCCTGCCCTGAGCACCACAGTGCGCGACCACTTGCGGCAACATGGAGAGCAGTCAGGATACAGAGTCGAGCCTGCTCCACCTGCTTCCCATGAGTGATTCTCAGGAGACCACCAGGCCGTTCTCTGGGGCGGCCGAGAACCTCCCACCTTTGGTTAGCACCCAAGTGCGCACCTGTGTGCACCAACCAGGGAGCCCGCACCAAGGCCAACAGCCCTCCTCACAGGGACCCAGCAAAGGGTCTCCTCAGTCACCGGCATCCTGGAAGCTGCTGTCTCGTAGAGACCCTGCAGGACAGGGGAGAACTGCCCCAGTGCGTTTCCAAAACTGTAACTCTTGGCGGGAGCGAAAGCTTCGTCTTCCTTCTAAGTGGCTGGAGGTTTCGAACTGCTGGGTGTCGTTAGCAACCCAACATATAGCCGCTTCTCCACCAAACTACAGCCTAAGCCACACTTAACACTCACCCAGCGACTACACAACAGGACAAGCACTGTGGACAGCAGCATGGCAGGAATAGAAATATCACCGGGCCCAGCACCCCTCTGCTCGGTACCTGCCCCACAGATTTGCAGATGTGTGCACACCATGTTCATCGTACCTCTGCTCACAAGAGCAGCAGAGGGAAGCCCCCTACAGGCCCACCAGGGGAAGGACGGACACAGACACAGGTACAGACACACAGGGTTAGCTCAGGAAAGCCGATGGAGCAGAGCCGCCTCCTGACACGGATGACAGATTTGGAGGACGTTACACTGAGGGAAGTCAGTCAGACACACAAGGACAGATATTAAAGGGGGGAGGTTTCCATCTCAAACCTAACAAACCGATGTTACGGTTACCGGGGTGGTGAGGAAGGGAGGCAAGGATGAAAAAGGAAGACTGGCGTTGACTTGAAGGACAAGGTAATATTTTACAAGAGAAGGCGTGGGGTGTGGAAGAGGACAGGGCGGGACAAGTTTGATAAACTGAATTGTTGAATGCAAAAGTAATCTGATATGTAAAACCCCACTTAATTCACAGTAAAGATTTTTTTTAAATTGCCACAGCATGAGCAAATGTGTGGTTTTAAAATAAATAGTTACAAAAGAAATGGCTTAAAAATGTTTTTTTAATGGCTTCATAATAAAAAAGCCAATGCCCTATGAAACATACCTGCTTCTCTACTGAGGAACATCCTAACCCCATTCCTGAGCGCTTTATAAGCAAAAGGTCAAGGGTCAGCTCCAATGGGGGTGGAGGTGGGATTTGGGGTCTATGCTCCTGTGCTCCCCAGCCTAAGAATGTGCCCTACATGAGTGAGGTCATGGCTCAGAACTACTGCCTGATGTGGAGGAGAGGCCCAGGAGGCTCCGTGTGAACATCCCCACAGCCCCTACCAGGTGGGGCTCAGTCATAGCCCAGCCCCCAGCCAGACTGCCCACCACGCAACCCATGGTGGCCAGAGCTGTGAGAGACACTGAGGACACTAGGTATACTGCAATCACACCAACACACACACACACACACACACACACACACACACACACACACACACGCCTGGGAAAGAGGTGTCAAGAAAGAGGAGATGGGGGCAAGGAGGGGGCACCCATCACAAGGTTGGATATATATAGCCCACCTCCTAGGGAGATGAATGACAGAAATGTGGGTGATGGGAGACAACGGACGGTGTAAGACACAAAATAACAATAATAAGATATAATTGGTCAAGGATCCACAAGGGTGGGATGGGAAAAAACGAGGAGCTGATACCAAGGGCTCAAGTAGAAAGAAAACGTTTTGGAAATGTTGATGGCAACATATGTAGTGTGCTTAATACAATCGAATGATGGATCGTTAAAAGATTTCTAAGAGCCCCCAAGTAAAACGAATTATATATATATATATATATATATTTAAAGAGGAGCTGCAGGAACCCTGCTCACACGATGGTGCAGTGGGCACACATCTGTGGGTTTGGTGTCTGGGCTGGCCCTGGAACGGTCACTTCCCTAGGCTCAGCAGCTAGCCCCCACTTCGTCTGGGGTCGGCGTGCCCCACCCTCAGGCTGCAGACCCGCCAAACAGCCCCCACCTCCCTGTGTGTCCCTCCCTTCGACCATTGGGAAAAGCAATCCGAGCCTGTCTGCCCAATGACCACAGCTCGAGGGGCCGCGGCTCGAGGCCCCGCCCGGAGCCCACCTTGCACGGTCTGCTGAAGGATTTGCTCGGCGCAGGCGCACAGGAGGTCCCAGAGGAGGGCCTTCCTTGGGTCTGCTTCGTGGGTAAGCACTCTGGGGGCGCCGCTTCTGCCACCGGGCCCCAACTCAGCCCCGGGGGCCCCCCGGCCCCCCAGCCGCTCACCAGAGGCTTCCTCTTCTGCTTCTCGGGCCGCCCGTCATCCTCGCGGATGAGCTCGATGCCGGCCTCCGAGCGCAGCACCTCCTTCAGGTCCTCCTCCAGGTGCGGGGTCTGCGGCTGGGAACGCGGGATCCCCACGTGAGCCATTGCACAGGGTGGTGGCGCAGATGCGACCCCCAGCGCCTTGCCTTCGTGGGACCACACATCCGGGAAGCTGGCCCCGCCCTCCCTTGTAACGAAAGGTTACAAGCCCCTCCCGAACCCGGGCGGCCCTGCCCCTCCACTGCAGTCTCCCTCTGCACCCCGCAGCCAGGCGCCGCGCCCCCATCTGTAAACGGAGAAAGGCAGCCTGTCTGGGGGCTAAGCAAACGGAGCGGCTCGCAGAGGAAGCAGCGCATGGGGGCGAGCCCAAGGTGCCCAGCAGAGCCCCGCCGCCTACCAGGGGCTTCAGTGGTCCGTATTTCTCCAGCGCGTTCTTGAACGGGGTCGGCGTGTGCGGAGTGTTGTCCGTGGCGTATTTCTGATCTGGGGTTACAAACCTGCCACGGGCCAGAAAAGGTGGCTCAGAGCGAGGGAGGGGGGAGGAGGATCGGGGACAGACACCAGCCACTCTGCTTAGGGCTGTCCCCCAACTGCCAGGGCCACTGGCCTCCGTGCAGGGCAGGAACGGCCCACTCTGTGCCCCATGCAGGTCTCTGCAGGTCACCGAGGAAGGACCATCCTCCAAGAACCGCAGAGTCTCGGCTTCAAAGAGCCAGGGGGGAAAGAGGGCGTGTTCACCCGCCACTGGGCAGTCCATCAAATCGGGCAGTCCGAGGGCCGGTCCAGCCCCAGGGAGAGTGGGTCAGAGGGGGTGCCCAGGCTGAAAAGGCGGCTAGGCCTCGGGGGACAAGATGGGGAGCCTGCACGTGGTCAGCTAACTCTCCTCCCAGGATCCAGGAGCAGGGTTCTGGCAGAGAAAAGCCCAGGGCAGGTGTGCTCTGCAGGTAAGAATCAGGTGTCCCACTGAGACCCACTGAGGCCGGCCAGCCCACCACCGAGGAGACAGGAAGTGGGGCCAGGACGGCAGCAGCACTGTGAGAAAACGGTGCCCTTCTGTTTACAGGGACGGGAAACCGGCCACACCAGGGGGCTCAGGTGCATGACACTGGTGAACATTCGTTGGCACCGCTCAATTGTATACTTGAAAATGGGAACCGATTACAAGGATCTG